CTTAAATTTTTAATGGTTTACATTTTTGAGAATACGCTTTATTTAAACTGGCACCTTTGATAACACATCAGTTACTTGTCATGGTAATATATGTATATTGTGAAACAATATATTATCAGATAAAAGTTTAATTTTTAAAGGTTTACATTTTTGAGAATACGCTTTATATATGTTCACTTTGAACTGAGACTTTGAATAATATATCAGTTACTTTTCATAATAATATATATTGTTACATAATTATTTCAATTGTTAAAGGTTTACATTTTTGAAGATCTGCTTACATTTTTGAACATGGCTAGACTTTTCATTTTAATGATATCTAATTTTACAGGCTCTTCTTTCTACGAATATATTCACCCAATCGACTATCTGTTTTTTCTTACTGTCTGTCAATTATAGTAAAAATCTCAAGGAATTAACTATAAAGCCTAAATATTTGCATTTCTGATTAGCAATTAGTGAACTTTTCCGAAAATTGATGAGAAAGCCTAAGCTTTCTAAAAGTTCGATAGCTTCCTGAGTGTTTTTCTCACACCTACTTTTCGATTTATTAATGAATAGGAAATCATCCAGATATAATATCAACAGCATGCCCTTTTTTCTTAAGTAGTTAACAATTGGTTTCATTAGTTTTGTAAAAATATATGGGCTGGTACATAGACCGCGAGGGGTAAACACCGAAACTGAAAGATTTCTCCTTCAAATATAAACCTGAGGAATTTTTTGTGTTCCCTGAAAATAGGTATCACATAATATGCATCTTTGAGATCCAAAGTCGTCATAAAATCTCTCCGTGACAGTAAATTTAGAACAGCTCTAATGTCCTCTAGTTTGAAGTGTGGTGCATCGATAAATTTGTTTAGTTCTTTAAGATTGATGATAAATCTAAAGGTTCCGTCTTTTTTAGGAATAAGAAAATAAGGGGAGATAAACTGACCCTTGCATTCTTTACATCTTTCAATCGTACCTATTTTCAGTAGTCTCGAGATTTCTATTTGGATATTTCTAGATTCTATTTCAGACCACCGACTTGTTCTCGGAGGTGATTCCTGAGTCGGATCCTCCTTGAAAGGGATACGATACCCTTTCAAACAACTCAATATAAATTTGTCTGACGTGATTTGTTTCCATCTATCTATAAAAAGTCGAAGACGTCCTGCTATTTTCTCTACCTAAACTATTTCTTTGACGATGATTGGTTCGTCGTCTGAGTCGTCTGTTTCGCTGGGGCCGATTGGGGAGTTTGGTATGGCTTCTTCTTGAAATTGAAGTATCGTTTCCTTTGATAACCCACCTGTCGATATCTCGCAGGTGGGTACTTCAAGTTTCCTTGACCCCAATGTTTGGTGGCGATTTTTTGAGTATTTTTCTCTCTTATTCTTGCACAAGCTTTTTCAACCTCCTTCGCATCCTTGAGTTTCTCTCTTAAGTCATTTCCGTATAGCCATTCGTCAGACGTCATCGTATCCACAGTAGGCTTGATATTTTTATTTAACTGTGGCGTGATGAACGATTTACGTGCCACAGATTGTTGGTAAAAAACATCTGTCAAAATCTGACCAGCATGGCTCAAGAAATCCGTGAAGATCTCTTCTTCTACACCTTCACTCGGAGGGTCGATAAGTAAAGACACTGCTGCACCCAGCGCAGCTATTGCTGTGCCAACGCAATTTTGCGTATCCAGGAAATGTTGATCCCGTTTCTTAGCAATGTCTGAGAGGAGTGGGACAATCTCTAAGTTAATT